ATATCACTTAACCTCTCTCTGTCAAAGTTTACCTGTGGGGATAATAACTAGGTAGTAATAATCTCTATCCCACTTGGGGTGTTGTGGGGGTTAGCTAATCTTTGTGAAATGCTTTATTATGTGTATTATAGTAGTGCCGAGAAAGTCCAGCCAAGATCAAGGCCTAGTTGTACTCGTCACTGTGCATATCCATAGTAAGAAACAGTCTGCTCTGAACAGCTGTCAATCTTCTACAAAAATAGACAACATGGATAACGGAAGGATTGTCATCCCCAATTTAGTTGGCAAACTACGGCACAGAGAGATCAAGTGACTTGTCTAAGATTCACAACAGGAAGTGTGTGGCAGAGCCAAGAATTGAACCCAAATCTCCTGGGTCCCAGTGCAGTGCTTTAACCACAAAATTATCGTTCTCCTCTGAGTACTGTCAGGTTTTTGAAGGAAATGTGCTACAGAAGGATAAAGTATATAATTATGGAAACGAAACCTTGCTAAGATGAGCTGTGATCAGTTTCAGATCTTGTCTTGAGATTAATTTTTGGAGTGCCATTGGCAAAGGAGTGGTACATCAGAAATAACTGGGCAAAATGTTATCAAATTTTTAATTCAGAGGAGAATGAGTGGAGCTATAATCAGAACTCTGGTATATGGCATCATCTTTGATAAGCAGGTCCTGTCTCTCACCTGCCACATGAACTCAGTAAGGGCTTGTATTTATTTGCCAATATATCACACCACTGCCACAGTCTTTCTGCCGCTCTTTTGTTTCAGTGATTAGTGTCTCCTTTAACCACGACAATTTTGGACCTTTCTTGAACACAGGAAAGCTATCAGAAGCAGCCCCGTTAGTGGTTTTGTTTTTGTTTTATTTCACATCACAGCAAGCCCTGAAAGCTGTCAAGAGCTATCATCTCATCACTCTTCCTCCAAGTGTTTGGCACAAACAAGGAGGAAAAGAACAGCATAAATAACCGAGTAAAATTATCCATAAATTGCAGCTCCTCAGATGTCAAGCAGAAATCAAAACAGACAGGCAGGCAGCAGGGAATCAACTGCAACAAAACTTTTACGGTAGTCTCTCTTTGCTCCAAAATCTATAATGTAAATAAACAAAGTCTCTCAAATCCACAGACACTCAGGATGGCAGAGGTAGCAGCTTGTACTCAGAGAATGGTAAGGGCCAGTGTATCTCAAGTTGCTCAGCAACGGTCCATTTGGTCAGTTGTGGCCAGACTCAAAGCCCACTGGAAGACTCCCATTGACATCAGTGGGCTTTGGATCAGACCATTAGGCTGCTATTCAGGAAAGTGCGTAAGCAAATGCTTAAGTGCTGCTGAAGTCAAGGGGACATAAACACATGCTTAAAATTAAGCATATGCCTAAGTGCTTTGATGAATAGGGAGTGTGCTTAAGTGCTTTGTGGAATCAGGGCCTTAAAAACCGGCATTGCTTCGCTCTAAAGGGAGTCCCTGCCTCTCAGGACAGAGCTTGCCATGTAGTGGTTTTGATGTGGGGCACTCGAAGCAGGGAACGGTTTGGAATGTGGGAGGAATGAACGTAACTGCAGTAAGAAGGATTGGGCACGGTTGTCATTTCCCATGAGAAGGGCTTTGTGAAATCCCCTGGTGTGAGTCAGAGTGAGTTAATTGGTCCTATTGCTGAAAGAGTCATTCCCAAGACACTGGAATGCTGGTGCGATTGTCTCTTTGGTCAATCAGCTTTTCCTTTTAGAAGTCTAAAGACTCTGGGTCTGATCATCAGCTGGTATAAATTGGTGTAGCTCTATTGAAGTTAATGGAGCTATGGTGATCTACACCGGCTGACAAACTGGCCTTAAGTTTTCAGCTCTGAGCTAAATGGGTACACCCGCAAACCCCAGCATTTGCATGTACAAGTGCATCTGTTTGAACATGCATTGGTGTGGGGTGATTTTTGAGAGCAGGATCAATGTACTCATCACTAAAAGTCTGATACTAGAGGTGTTTTGGGGGAAATCTAGGATCCTAGGGGCAATCGTGTTTGAAGGACTTTATATCCTTTATGCCCTTCATATGGCAAATAATTTAACAGGTGATGCTGGAACGGTTGCTGCAATCAAATCTTTCGGCTGCTGCATGAATAATAATGCTTGCTAGTGAGACGCACTCCATGCAGATTACAAAGTACAGTCATATACATTCACTATCAGTCAAGGCAACAAAATAACAACGATAAGTGCTATGATACGGGGATGACATATGCTGCATTTTATTGGTGCCTTGGAATTTCATAAGCACTGTATTAAAGATAATAGCTAACTGGATTGCAAATGGATGCCTCTGGTGCTCCTGGGGATCTGCACTTGTTACTGCCTAATTGAGACAGTTGTGTAGCCTTGTTGTGCCCAGTGCTCAGAGGCTGATTCTGAGGCATAGAATTATGAAATTGGAGAGAGAGAAAAAACTAAAGGGTATTTGCACCTATCTTCCCTGCTAGGGCAGGAAGGTCCTGAGAGTGTATTTCAGTTGTTTTGACAAGTCTAATTTTAACTGATTCCAGCCTTGGGATTTTCTGTAGATGCTATTCCAGTCTAATAGACCTTTATGCTTAAGAGATTTTTCTTAAGCTGTTGTTTCCTTTGCTTATTTTCGTTGCTGTTATTTGCATCCTCCTTGAAGCACACTAAACAATGACTAAGGGGAGGGATGGTACCTGAAGCATGAACACCTAAACAAATTGTTTAGTCTACAAACTACACCTCCTTGGAAATCTTGGCAATGACCGCAGGACGCATGGATTGGTTATTGTGTACATATATTGTATATAATTGTGGGAATCATATGGACTGAATTGTCCCTGGCTCTTGTGGAGGATGTGTGGCAGGAGATAGAATCATACAAATGTAGGGACCTTGAGAAGTCATTAAGTCCAGCCCCTTGCGCTGTGGCAGGACCAAGTTAACCTAGACCATCCCTGACAGATGTTTGTCCAACTTGTTTTTAAAAGCTTCCGATGATGGGGACTCCCCGACCTTCCTTGGAAGCCTATTCCAGAGCTTAACTACCCTGGTCGTTAGAAAGTGATTCCTAATATCTAACCTAAATCTCCCTTGCTGCAGATTAAGCCCATTGCTTCTTGTCCTACCTTCAGCGGACATGAAGAACAATTGATCACAGTCCTCTTTATAACAGCCCTTAAAATATTGGAAGACTGTTATCAGGTCCACCCCTTCCCCCAGTCTTCTTTTCTCTTTTTTAACCTTTGCTCGCAGGTCAGGTTTTCTAAATCTTTTGGAGCATAAGAAGCTGTTTGACATGCAGGCATCCCACATAAGGGCCAAGGACAATTGTTGTCCCTATGTTTGAGGGAAACACAAGGGCTATTTCCTGTATATGACACTCTGCTGATCTCGTGGGGCTGGTGTGAGGTATTGCCCCAGCCCTTTACCACCCTGCCAAAGATGTTGGGAGCAACTGGGGGAACCAGCTAAAACATACTAAAGGATGGTGCAGTCTGTGCACCTTCCCTCAGCCTTGCCTTGAGCTGTGTGGCTCTGCACTGGCCCTCAGGGGGGATGGGGGCAGCGCAGATGCACAATCCAGCCCTAAATAACTGATCAGAGTTATTCAAACTGAGAGATTACTTTGCAGTTTCCTTGGATTTCTTCTCTTTCATTTCTGAGATCTACTGCCTGAGTTTGCGGCTAGCTCTTTCTCTTCCCTTTCCTGGTTCATGATTTGCCTTACGTTCACTCACTTTATGCAGACATTTAATTGATATGCATCTGAAAGAGAATGACACATGTGACTTATTACTATGTGAACATGGTTTCTTTCCCAGCCTTTAATTGATTTTAGATAATAAAGTGCAATTATAAAACTCAATAAAAAAATCTGTTATTTTAAAGAGAGAGACTGAAAGAAACCTAAGTGATGCTCTGCTGTGGGACTGTTATCAAATGAAATCCCCTTTGTTTAAGTCTATTTAATTTCACAGCTTTACTTGAATTGTTACAATTCTGTGGGCTTTCTCACAATTATAAACAGCAGGCTGAGAAAAGAACTCATTTTTTAAAAAGTCCCAGTGAATATAGCCACCATAGATGTTGTTTTTGTGATGGAGCCTGCCCACACCTTAGTGCAGCCTTTCCACCTTTTACGTATCTGGGGAACCCGTGTACTATTGCTTCTCACTTGGGCCTGTTCTAGACCAGCCCAAGGAGTCTTCAAGTTCTCTGCTGAGAATTGAATTATCAAAGTGACTAGGCCACAATATGGGTGATCAGTGTCACTATTTGCAATACTAGGGAAGGGATCCTCTCTCCCACTATAGCCCCTGTATGCGGTAACCCTCCCCCCTTAATTGGCCATGGAGAATTTCCCTAGCATAGGCACTGCCTAGGACAGCCGTAAGGAGCACTTTGCAGTCCCTCTTGCAAGCCTTGATGTAGGGGGCATGCCAGGAGTGGGAGATTGTGTGTCATGGGTAAGAGGCACAGGGGGTGTAAGCACACACTGCTTTATGTGCAGTTCTCTGAGCTGCCTAAATAGTGCCTGGGGATATTTTGGCCCACAACGAGACCAGAAATTATGGGAGTTTCATACTTGCCTCCCAGAGTGCCTGCTTTTCCCTCAGAGAAGGAGAGAAGAGGAGGTTGCCCTTGTGGTTAAGACACTGGTCTGGGACTCAGGAGATCTGGGTTCTGACTCTGCCACAGACGCATCATGGTCTTGGTCAGGTCACATCATGTCTCGGTGCCTGAGTTTCCCCATCAGTAAAATGGGGATAATAATGATTCTTTCCTCCACCCTTTGTCTGTCTTGTGTATTCGGTCTGAAAGCAGTTTAGGGTAGGAATGATCTCTTACTCTGTGTGTGCATGTGATCGCATGTGTGTGCGTACGTGTGTACACAGGGCCTAGTACAATGGGACCTCTAGATACTACTGTGATATAGATGATAAAAATAATACTAATAATGGATGCTCTGACAGAGTTTCTTTGTTTCTCTTTGTTTTCCCAGCTGGGAGGCTGCGGGATCCTTGGAGTTGGCATCTGGCTGGCTGTTACCCAAGGGAACTTTGCTACCCTCTCCTCTTCTTTCCCATCCCTGTCGGCTGCCAACCTGCTGATTGTCACAGGGACTTTTGTCATGATCATCGGCTTCGTCGGCTGTATAGGTGCCATCAAAGAAAACAAGGGCCTCCTGCTGAGTGTGAGTATGAAGATACGCGCGGTCAGCGATGGTGTCCATTGTTTCCTGATGCTGGTGTCACTGCAATGCACGTTAGAGTGATGTACGGTATTTAAGAAGCAGACTGGTCAGTTCTGGGCCGGGACGAGGCATGAGTCATGGTTCAGTCATTCTCTGATCTCCCAGGTCATTCCTGAGCACGCCTGCTTCTATTAACACTTCTGCCAAAGATGAGACGCTCACAAGAAGGGAGGGGTTAGCGATGGTGGTGGTGCATTTGTGTTCTTCTTGGGGGTTGAGGGATTTACCTAGATGGCTTTTGCAGCATGCCCTTGAATTCCTTGTCCTTATTCATCCAGCTTTAGCAGCTACATCCCTTCAATAGCTACGTAGTGGGGCTGGTGATATGAGGGCCTGAGGTGGGGATCACTGACGAGGGGAGTGCAGGGAGAAATTATGAGTTTGACCTAAACTGGAATTGAGATGTGTAATATTGATGCCACCGTTGGTTTTGCCAGTAGTTAACTCTTAAAAGGTTGGGATGTTGGCAAGCAAAGTTTCCAGCCTAAGAGTTAGGCTGTTAAATGAGAGGTTAAGGGTTAATAAGGTGTGGATAGTCCAGCTTTAACTGAGGCCACAGATCTTGCTTGTGTTTTACTGAAACCTGATTTGATGCCACTGCTTTGGTTTACAATTGGTGCCAGTTACAGTTAATATTGGGTGAATATTTTGTGTAGCATGAGGCTAAGGGGGGATGAGTGAGGTCATGGCATTATGGCCACGCTGTTTATCCAGCCTTAAATATAGGTGGTTTCCCACCCCACAACTGGATTGAATCCAGTTTCCCAGGGTGGGGTGAAGCTGGGACTAGGCCTGGGAAACTGATTTCCCTGCTGCATTGCAAAGTCTGTGTGTGAGCTGAAGTTGTTCCCCACCACACACCTCAGCCTGCCAGGGCCCAAATGTGGGGTGAGTTGTGTGAAAGTGACCAGAAATAAGGGGGACACAAATTATTCTGTAAGAATATTTTTAGTTTTGTAAGATCCCCTTCTTTAGTGTATAGAAGGCTTTCTATAGCATCTGTTTAATGATTCTTTGATTCTGACACATTTTTTAACAATGGAAGTGAGGGGCACCACATTTCTGTGGAATGTAGGTGACTTTGGCACTAAAATGAGCGATGTCCCTTGAAACCAAGAAGCCTCTGGGGCCTTTTTACCAGGGTGGGATGGAGGGTCTGAGGCTGAGACTGCTTGACGACTTTAGTAGCCTCATGGGTGACAAACTTTCTGAATAAGTTACGTGGCTATCATGGCAGCCATGTGGCTAACCCACATGCTTATTGGCTCCATGCTCATGCAACTCTATTCAGCAAGGTGCTGAGTCCCATGGGATTACTCACATGCTTAAGATGTTTGCTGGGTCACGGCCAGAGTACTCAGCTCGCTGTGAGACAGAGCCCATTGCTCTTTTGGGGGGCATATTGGGGCAAGGCAGCTAGAAATTGTGCCAGTGTCAGGGACTGATCATTACCATCTATGGGTTGATAGTGGGTGTCTACCTATCCTGTTGAAGTTGGGGAAAAATCTTGATCAGCTTCCAGTTAGTGGAAGCATCAATGTAGCGTCTAGGTGGAAGTCCTCTGGATGGACTCTCAGATTTGGACCTTACTTCCTCCAACTTTTAGTGTGAAAAATAGCTTGAACCTGTTGGCCTTCAGGGTCTGATATATGAATGGTCCCTTTACCAAGTCTAAGATTTTCAGGGGAGCCTAAGTTAGTTACCAGCTCCTGCTTAATGTTAGTGAGATTCAGAACTCTCATGGGTGCTTTGGACAATCCCACTGCCAGCCTTTTGGGGAGGGAAAGGGATAACAGGGGCTGCTGTTTGTGAGTGAGATGGGATATTGTATGGGTCTGCTTCCACTTTATTAATTATGATGATGATTATTATTATCATATTCTGGTTCACGCTGCTGGTTTGGTTTGATTAAATTGTAATTTTAATTAATCACAGAAGTGTCTATAGCTTGGGACAGGTGTGTTTTTTTCCTAGATAAATTATAAATCAAAATAAATTCATGAACACAGTAACTGACTGAAGTAACTAGTTTAATATAGCTTTGTTTACTCCATATATGCTCAAGTACTACCCCAGGCCACTCTTCCCTTACACAACACAATTTTCACAGTTACCCCCAAGATGATCTTCTACCAAAAAAGGGCTGCTGTTGGAATCTCTCTGGGTGCCCTTTAAAAATCCCGACCTCTTGCCCCAAAACATACAAAGTGAGTTTTTGTTCAACTTTTCTGCTGTTAGTTCTGTACCTTCCCTTCTGTGCCACTTTTTAAAGGGAATGTTCCTGTGAAATCAATGGAGTGTCAGGACAAGCCTGCTAATTTTGGCAATGGGAAAGCAGTTAAGAGTTGGAAATCTTGTCTTCACGCTGTGTTTAGCAATCATCAGAGGGGCGAGTCCTTAAACTCCCTTTGATGTCTACCAGGGCAGACATCTTTACATCTAGCCTTGTTTCTAGCCTCATGTCTATTCTTATTTAAACCTAATTCCTGTGATGACTGTCTGCTTGGTCCTTTCAGAATGGTGTGACATCACTGCAGATAGAGGTTTGTCATGGCTGTGATGTCAGTGACACATTTCTTAGACCGTGCACAATATGGTAGAATTTTGTTTTGTTAGTAGCATCTCTCATGCTAACTATTTTTTAAAAAGTCAGGCTGGGATTTCCAAAGGAGCCTAAGGGTTTTAGGCATCCAACACCCATTAGGTACTCTGATCTCATTGAAATCTAACTCCTTTAAGCCACTTCGGAAATACCAGCCTAAAATAATAAATAGTTGCAGTGAGGCTGAAAAGGTATGTTTAGGGTGGGCTGATAGAGCTGGTTTAATACTATTAATTGAACACATTGCTTGATTAAATTTGCTGTTTTTCATTGAATAACATATTTGACTCATTCATTTTTCTGAGAATCAGCCAGCTCTAGTGGTCCATGAGAGAGGAGGCAAATATGGGGAGCTAGATGGGTAGCAGAGACTGGCGAAGTCTTTGAAGAAGGTTGGAGCAAGTTTATGATGGCTTAAAAACAAAGAAGAAATTATTAACTGGATTCTGAAATGAAAGGGGAAACAATAGCGTTGTTTGAAGATGAAGGTGTATTCCTTCTTCATGGCTCATGTCAGAAACAAGGCTGCGGCATTCTGCCTGTGTTGGAGTCTGGTAAGGTGGAATTTGGGGAGGCCATAAAGAAAAGGAGTTTCAGTCATCAAAGCTAGAGGAGTATTTCCAGGAATGCTGTAAGGGTACGGCAAGTTGGCAGCTATCTGGGTTTCACCAAGGTATCCATGGAGAGATGCTGATTCCACTCAGTAGACTATCTGCACATCTCCAGTTAGCATGTTTCATTTACCTCCCTCCAATCTCTTCTCAGTACAGCATGGGAGTAAGACGTGATCATGAAATACTAACCATAACTGGCAGTAAAGCTCCCCAAATGTTAGTCATTTTACTCTCCTGCTGCTCTGCCCATGTATCTCTCTCCTCTAAATCCTTCACTGTCTTCCTCTCATATTCCACATCAAGCTAATTCTCTTGAAATCTCCTTCAAGAGCCTCATACCTGCACCTAGAGACAAGCTTGGGACTATGCAAACCATGCAGACGCATGCGGTATTCCCGAGACCAAATTAGAGTTTCTGCTGCTGTCATCTGCACTGCATCCCCTCATATTGATCGAATGACAGTATCTCTTTCCTCCTGCTTTCCCCTGCTGGCTACCTCTAGGTCTGCATGGATTGAAGAAGGCTCCTATTGTCCTGCTTCCTCCTGCTATCCCACACGGGCTCCCAAGAGCAGCTGAAAAGGGAGGAGGCAGCACCCAGAGGTTGGACGGAGGTAGGGGGACAGGAGCTGCACCGGGGGTTATATTATCTGTAGCGGGGGTTGGATTCTGAGGTGCTGTGGGGGTTAGAAGCTAAGATGGATGATGCCAGAGAGCAAGAAGTGAAAGGCTAGGAGCTGGGATGGAACAGGGAGAGGTGCTGGGGAGCAGAAGATGGAGAATACTGGGATAAGAGGTGGGAGTAGGACCTAGTTGTGTGGAGGAGCAGAAGCCACATGGTGGTGGGCAATAGGGGGCTGAGTAAGGGGATGGGGGCTCAGAGCTTATCCTACTCATACACTAAGGGAAGTGGTACTGGTTAGTGGTATGGTAGGAGATGGTTTTTTTTGAGGAGTGAGGAGGTTGGAGTGCAGGGAGAAGTGAGCGGTAGGCAGAGAGTATGCTAACCCATTTATATGGTGTACTCTGGGTTGGAGGGAGGCCCAGAATCTGACCCTATATCTCCATGCATTCTGGCACATGACCTGGGCATTCCATTTGTCTGAATGTGATTGTTAGCTCTTCAATGCGAAGATCCTGTGGTCTTCTATATGAATGACAGTAATTGGCTGGGTCTGGCATGTGTAACAGTGCCAGGGAGGAGGAGAGGGGGGAATCTGTAAGTGGCAGAGAGGAGAGGGAGCAGAGAGATCTAAACAGGAATAAAACATTAAAACCAATGGGTTTTGTGTGGTGGGGTATAATACTCATAAATAATCCATACAGACATACTGAGCCAGATCCTCCGCTGGTCTGAATCAGCACAGCTTCAATGGAACCACATTGATTTCCACCAGCCCAAGGATCTGACCCATTTCTTTATTCATCATCCTGACCAGTCCTTGTGACTGCCTCACTAAACAAACCCATTCACATTATTGAGCACTCTGAGGAACCTTATGGAAACCTGAACTAAAGTGAGAACAAAATTCTTTTTGTAAGGAAACCTTGAGCATGGCCTATGTTCTACATTAATATGAAGACAGGGTGAATGCGCACATGCCATCATGTCAAAATGTTATTGAACAAATAGCGGATACCGACAACGATCCTTATACGCTCCAGCTCTGATGTGAAGGAAGATAAACTCTCCCAGCATTAGGTTTCCCTAGAGAAATCAGAGG